ATGTTCCCCCCCCCCCCCAATAGCTAGCAATCCGAAACAGTCCAGTGGAGCCTGAGCGGTGGGTGTTGCCTTCTGACACACTTCCGGTGATATGCATATGCAAATAAGTTATGCTAATGAGTTATGCTAATGAGCTCTTGCACCTCTTTTTCTACTAAATGACCCCTGCTTGTAAGCCATGCCCCGTAAGAGGTGCAAAGGAAGTCTCCAAGGGAGGTGGCAGCGTAAGGCGATAATTATCCCGTGTCCTTTTGAAAGTTCTGAGCGGCTTATATCGTGGGAGTTGTTCTCACTGGCCATGGGGCATCAGAGTCTTCAAAAGGATCTGTGCAGATAAGACCCAGTAAAGAGGGCAGCTTTATCTGCAATGTTTTTTTGTGTTAAATGCTGTCAAGTTTCTTCTAACTTACAGTGGCCCTGTGAATTAGCATTCCCCAAAATGTCCCTTTCTTTCTTTTTTTGGGGGGGATCTAGAACCCACTGATTTGACTTTTTGGCAAGACGATAAGAAAGAAATACAGGTACAGATTAACCCTGCAGGGCTCTTTTTGTAGCAGGAACTCCTTTGCATATTAGGCCACACACCCCTAATTTATTTATTTATTTATTCGATTTGATATACCGCCCTAACACCCTTGGGGGGTCTCTGGGCGGTTTACATAGTGAGAGTGCTAATCACAATTGAATTTCCCGCGCGGGGGCCCAATTTTGGGGGGGGGGGGGGGAGGTGTGACAGCCTAACGGCACCCTGGCACCTACCGGCACACTCTTCTTACAGGAGCTACTGTAAGCTCTTGGAGGAATGGCTACATTAGGGGTGTGTCACTTAATATGCAAATGAGTACCTGCTACAAAAAGAGCCCTGACCGATGGACAGTGGAAGACTGCATGCAAATCAAATCAATTCTAACATTTCCCAAGCATTATATGAGCTTTAAACCTAATTGGCTTTCAAATAATAACTCTCTCACCATGTTTTTAAGAGCTTAAGAAACCCAGTGCACACAGACGGAGATACAAAATCTCCCCTACATCCTTTTGACACTCCTCTCACAGAAAACCTGAGTAACTCTTCTATGTGATGCATTTTATAGAAAAAGTGACACCTGCCGTCTTGGGGAAATCACTATAATTTTTTCGTGTGATGGCTCTACAGATAAGTGACTGCTTCTCAACCTCATCCTGTGAAATCATATGCAGACGTGTTGAGATTGTATCTGATAATGTTTGTTAACCGCTCAAGAAAGATTAAAAAGGCTACATTTACCATTTAACTTGTAAATAGGAAGCAGTAATTCTTTTTTTCCCCTTCAAGTTCATTAATGGGCTGTCAAATCCAAAAAAACCCTGTTCTTTTCCTGACCAGCTGATGAAATTCTGCAACAGCTTTGAGAAGTACCTAAAAGCATACACATTTAGGATGTGTATCATGACAGCAGAATGCGCCTCAGGGCAGGGACACAAGTGTGTACATAAGAGAACATAAGAGAAGCCAATGTTGGATCAGGCCAATGGCCCCTCCAGTCCAACACTCTGTGTCACACAGTGGCCAAAAATACCAGGGGCCATCAGGAGGTCCACCGGTGGGGCCAGGACACTAGAAGCCCCTCCCACTGTTGCCCCCCCCCCAAGCACCAAGAATACACTCTGAGTATCCCTTGCTCCAGACCGAGAGTTCCTATCTAGACCTTGTGGCTAATAGCCACTGATGGACCTCTGCTCCATATAAGAACATAAGAGAAGCCAATGTTGGCTCAGGCCAATCCAGTCCAACACTCTATCACACAGTGGCCAAAAATACCAGGTGCCACCAGGAGGTCCACCAGTGGGGCCAGGACATTAGAAGCCCTCCCACTGTTGCCCCCCCCAAGCACCAAGAAGACAGAGCATCACTTGCCCCAGACAGAGAGTTCCTGTCTATGCCTTGTGGCTAATAGGGGTCACTGGTGGACCTCTGCTCCATATGCTTATCCAATTCCCTCTTGAAGCCGTCCATGCTTGTAGCTGCCGCCACCTCCTGTGGCCATGGATTTCCATGTGTGCTGAGCTCTCTTGCACTTTGAACTTTTCCCACTTGCCCTCCCTTAATTTGCCTGCTGGCAGAGGCCCCGGAGGATCAGTGAGGGTCCCTATAGCCCTTCCCCCGATGTTGCCTCCTGGCTCTGGGATTCAGAGGATCAGTACCGGGGCCTCCGCCAGTGCCCAGCGACTTTCCCTTCTCACTGGGCAGTCCTTCCTGCCCCACTCCCCTGTTAGGAGGTGGTTCTATAGAACCAGTATATCGTCTCCAGCCTGTCCTGCAGGTTTTGGAACTCTGCTTTGGTGGGACTGGCGAAACTCAGGCTCCAGCCTGGTCTCACACGTGTGTTGTGTGAGCCACTTTGTCTGCTTTCAGAGACATTCGGAGACGCTGACCCACCATCTTGAGACAGGAGGCTGGATTAGAGGGACCCTCACTGGTCTGTTCTGGCAGGGATGTTTGGATGTTACAACCCCCTCCGCCTTGACTGGATGAGGTTCCACTCTGTGCCAAGCAGCTCAAGGACCTTGCCCTGTAACCAGTGTTCCCTCTAAGCTGAGTTAGTGTGAGCTGGCTCACAGCTTTTTAGCCTCCGGTTCACACATTTTTGTCTTCGCTCAGGAAGGATGGCTCCAGAGCAAACTAATTTATGGAGTAGCCCAATCGCTTGCTCACAACTTTAATGCCAGTAGCTCACAAAGTAGAATTTTTGCTCACAAGACTCCACAGCTTAGAGGGAGCAGTGCCTGTAACCCACAGTTCCAGTGCATCACTCTGGCAAAAACACACACACACACACACACAGTGCTGTGATTGTTGCATCCAGTAAAGTGAATGTTGGTAGTTTCAGCCTCCTCTGTTTTGTGGGAAGATTTAGTTCCCACTTGGTGGATGGAATGAGACGCATCCAATGTTCCCTCTAAGCTGTGGAGGCTTGTGAGCAAAAATTCTATATTGTGAGCTACTGGCGTTAAAATTGTGAGCGAGGGACTTGGCTCCTGCATCAACTAGTGTGCTCTGGAGCCCCATCCTTCCCGAGCCGGGACAAAAACGTGTGAGCCGGAGACTAAAAAACTGTGAGCTCGCTCACACTCACTCAGCTTGGAGGGGACACTGTTTGTGACATGGAAGGCCGACAGGCCTGGGCCAGCTCTAAACAACATCTGGGCCTCGGAGGGGAATCTGGGGGCGGTTGGTGGCGGCACAGGGCAGGCTGTCCAGGGTGGCTTTTGGTACGTCGGGCTCAAGCAGGGGAGCGGCATGGCCCCTGACCCAAGGGCCTCGCAGCCGAGCAGAAAGGGCAGGTGTCTCCTTTCACCAATATAAGACCCGAGTTCTGGTTCTGGTTCCATGGGATACTCCCTTCCTCCCCCCCCCCACCCCCATACCTGCAGATCTTGATCATGGACATCATCGAAGTGGTTCCGGAGCCTGGGCAGCCGCTCACCAAGAACAAGTTCAAGGTCTTGTATGAGAAGGAGCAGAAGGGCCCCGTCACGGCCCTCTGCCACTGCAACGGATACCTGGTCTCCGCCATCGGCCAGAAGGTGAGCGGGGTGGGTGGGACTGCCCCTCTTGGAGGGCTTATCCGGGGTCACGTGACAGGTCCCCTCTAGCCATCCCAGTGCACTGCTCAGGTGGATTTCTTTCACCACTTCCCGTTGCTGGCCACGGAATACTCAGTTGGGGATCCCTTTTGGGCGGCCACGGAATGCTCGGTTGGAGCGCTGTGATCCCCCCCCCCCGTGACTCAGTCTGGAGTGTTAGTGTGCTGCTTTGTGCGCATGGCGGCAGCATGAACTGAGGGAGAGCTGCTTACACTTCTGTGCCAGGGGCGTCCGGAGAGCTGCCCAGGCTTCGGGGAGACACATCTGTGCCAGGAAGATGTGGAGGGGCTTTGGCTGGGTGGTGGTGGTTCTTAGCCTTTTGTATCTTACAGAAGAAAGTTTGAGTCCAGTGGCACCTTTAGAGAGCCAGTCTGGTGTAGTGGTTAGGTGTGCGGACTCTAATCTGGGAGAACCAGGTCTGATTCCCCGCTCCTCCACTCGCACCTGGCTGGATGACCTTGGGCAAGCCATAAGTTCTGACAAGAGCTGTCCTTGGAAAAGGGCAGTTTCTGTCAGAGTTCTCTCAGCCCCACCAACCTCACAGGGTGTGTCTGTTGTGTGGAGGGGAAGGGAAGGTATTTTGTAAGCCGCTCTGCGACTCCTTTGGGTAGTGAAGGGCAGGGTATAAATCCAATCTTCTCCTCCTCCTCTTCTTCCTCTTCGACAGTTCTTGGTCAGAGCTCTCTCAGCCCCACCGACCTCCCAGGGTGTCTGTTGTGGGGAGGGGAAGAGAGAGGAGATTGTCAGCCTCTCTGAGACTCCTTTCGGTAGGGAAGGGCGGGGTATAAATCCAATCTCTTCTTCAAGACCATTAAAGTTTAATTTTCGGTGGGTGCACACAAAAGCTTGTGCCCAGAATTAAATTTTGCTGGACTTAAAGGTGCCCTGCTGGACTCAAACTTTGTTCTATTGCTTCAGACCAACACGGCTACCCACCTGAATGTATCTTGTATCTTATATCCCACCAACTACGCTGGGATATTACAGGACCATTTCCCCCCCAGAAGGGCCTTTCTATGTTTACAGGCCTAAAGACGATAATTCCATTAATAGTTGAAAATCATAGCGATACTGTTGCATGACTTTGAAAACAAAGAATACATTAAAAATTGCAGTAGTGTTACCGGGAGAGGGAATTCATAGTGATTCTTACGAAAATGCTGTGCTCCACCTAGACTACTTCTGCGTTCCACTGATGGTCCGTGCACCACCAGCTGAGAATCATGGCTGCTCTAGAGGGCATCTAGAAACTGGGGCTGGGGTGGGGGGTGGGGCAGGGAGTGCCGTGATCCTCCCCAAAGCATTTGGCATTATATTAGGCAAGTAAGACTGGGGGGGGGGGCTTTCTTACACACCCAGTTCTCGTGGCCCTTTCTTATATGCCCAGGGAAAGGCCGATTGCCACTTTGGGGTCAAGCAGAGCACAGTTGTGGGGGTGGGAGAGTGGCAGAGAGAAGAGATGGGTCTGGAGGAGAGGAGAGAGAGGCGGGCAGAGGCTGCTTGGGGGTGTGCGTGTGTGGAGGGGGCATGCCGGGGCCCTGCCCCCTCCCGGCCTCAGGCCCGGCATCTCCTTCCTGCCGCCGCAGATCTTCCTGTGGAGCCTGAAGGACAACGACCTGACGGGCATGGCCTTCATCGACACCCAGCTCTACATCCACCAGATGATCAGCGTCAAGAACTTCATCCTGGCCGCTGACGTGATGAAGAGCATCTCGCTGCTGCGCTACCAGGAGGAGAGCAAGACCCTGTCGCTCGTCAGCCGGGTGCGCGGCGTGGTGGGGTGGGTGGCTCTGCGGGAAGCGGCGGGGCGCCTCCCCAACCGGCCTGCCCCCTGGAGTCCTGACCCCTCTGCTTCTCTCCCCCAGGACGCCAAGCCCCTGGAGGTTTACAGCGTGGACTTCATGGTGGACAACGCCCAGCTGGGATTCCTGGGTGTGTAGTGGGGGGGCAGGGCGATAGACCACCCACAGCCAGGCCCCAGAGAGTTGGTCTGGCCCCGGGATATTGGGCGCGGTGCGAGAACTGCAACCGCAGTGTGCTGTTGTGCAAGGAAACCCGTTCTGAGTTATTGTGCTTGAAACGGAATCCAGCTTGCTCAGCCAGGTGAGACTCCCATTACAGCGTGGAGCTCGTTCGGTTCACCAGGGAGTTTCCGGCTAAACATTAGGAAGAACTTCCTGACAGAGCAGTTCCTCAGTGGAACAGGCTTCCTTGGGAGTTGGTGGGCTCTCCTTCTGTGGAGGTTTCCAAGCAGAGGCTCGATGGCTCCATCTGACAGCAATGCTGGTCCTGTGAACTCGGGCAGATCAGGAGAGGGAGGGCAGGGAGGGTGGCCTCAGGGCTTAGTTCTCGTGGCCCCTTCTTACACGTCCTGAGAAATGCCGATTGCCACTTTGGGGCCAGGAAGCCATTTCCGGTTTGGCCAGGGGCCCTGGAGGGGTGGTGTCCCCCCCCCCCCACCTTCAGGGCATGGAGCAGAGGGTCACTGGGTGTGTGTGTGTGGGAGGTATCTGTGAATTCCCTGCATTGTGCAGGGGGTTGGACTAGATGACCCTGGGGGTCCCTTCCACCGCTATGATTCTATGACGGCTGCTTTGGGTTGCCATAAACCCTAGGCTATGAAGATGTGGAACCCCGCCAGCTGCCTATGAGGGACATCTGCCCCATTGCCTAGATAGGGCTGCACGTGAATTTATCAGGAGGCTCTGCCTGTTGGGATCCAATCCCTGGGACGTTCAGGTCACACACCCATCCTGTTGTGCACAGCTGTGCTTGTGCCGCGCTCGGCTGACGCGAGGGAGCCGGGGTTGGAACTCTGCCATTCTCTCTTACAGTGTCTGACAGGGACAGGAACCTCCTCGTCTACATGTACCTGCCCGAAGGTGAGAGGGAAGCTGCTGTTATTGGGTGTGTGTGTGGGGGGGGAGGTTGAGTTCCCATCTTTTGTGGTGGGTGGATTTGGGGCCGTTTGCTCGCCTCAGACCCCACTGCTGCTGACACAGTCTGGCTCTGCTTCCTCCTGCTCTGGACGGGGACGGCGAGGGGTGTTCCAGAGCTTCCTGGCAGCAGGAGGCCTCTTTGGGTCTCCTGAGACTGAAGCTGCCCCTTCGTGGAAGTGCTCTGTCCACAGCCCCCACCCTCTTTTTCCCCCGGCCCCTCTCTCTCTAGCGAAAGAAAGCTTTGGCGGCATGCGGCTCCTCCGCAGAGCCGACTTCCACGTGGGCGCCCACGTCAATGCCTTCTGGCGGACGCCGTGCCGCGGAGCCATGGAGGGCCCCACCAAGAAGTCCATCGCCTGGGAGAACAAGCACATCACCTGGTTTGGTGAGTGGGGTGGAGGGGGTGACGCTGGACCAGGACCGGATGCCACCAGCTCATTCGGCTCCTTCAGATGGAGCTCAAGGTTCACGTTTAGTCTTGCAACAAAATAAGTAAATCTATGCATTGAATTTTGCTCCCAAATCTAGGATCCCTTTTAAAAAAAAAATTGTGGTGTTAATGGCTGCCTAAGAAGTTTCCTGGAAAGGCAGACTATTAATCTTGTAAATATCAAGGGAGAGAGTCCAGTTTCAGTTACAGTTTCTGGCTTATCGAAGAAGAGGAGATTGGATTTATACCCCACCCTTCACTCCCTCGGAGTCTCAGAGCGGCTGACAAACTCCTTTCCCTTCCCCTCCCCTCCCCACAACAGACACCCTGTGTGGTAGGCGGGGCTGAGAGAGCTCTGGCAGAAACGGCTCTTTTTCAAGAACAGCTCTGTCAGAACTACGGCTTGCCCAAGGTCATCCAGCTGCTGCATGTGGAGGAGTGGGGAATCAAACCCGGTTCTCCCAGATTACAGTCCGCGCACTTAACCACACTAGCTCTCAAAGGATCGTTGAGCCATTCATGACCTGCCTATTAGTGGCTGAACACTGTTTAAAACCATCTATAACATTTGATTATATCTGAGTCGACTATGCTCATACCACTCTCGGGAACATACGGTGAGAAATTAATTCATTATTGTATGGCATTGTGTGTAGTGTAGCCAGAAGGTCCTAAGATTGTCTGGCAGTCTTAAGTTCTAGCTCTTTTAGTGGCAAGCGAGACTTCTTTTTGGCCTGAGAGCGCTCGGAGAGAGCTGTGACTGACCCAAGGTCACCCAGCTGGCTTCATGCGGAGGAGTGTGGAATCGAACCCGGTTCTCCCGGATTAGCGTCCGCGCACTCAACCACTACACCAAACTGGCTCTTTGAACCATTACACTTGTGTGATCGCTTATATGTCCCCCAGCATCTGGCCTCTGGAGGTAGCCTGCCGTTCTGCTCCATTTGCCCATCATTGCCAGCGAGAACCCCTTCTCCTGGAACTTGCCAAAGACCCCCTTAAGGAATCTGAGCTGGTGGCCATCGCTGCATAAAATGGGAGGGTGGGAGATCGAGGCCGTGAAGCTGCTTTGGGACCCCCAGTGCAGAGGGAAGCAGGACAGAAGTGTTCTAATAAATAGCCCTTAAATATTTGTTCCACTGCCTGGCATAAGCTGGGGAGCGGGGGAGAGGTGAGGTGCCCCAGAGACAAGAAGCGATACTTGCACGGCATTGTTGTGGGGGGGTTTTGGAGGGCTGTGGGAAACCCGTCTCTGACGGGGCTGGCGTCTCTCTCCCTCTTCAGCCACCCTCGATGGGGGGATTGGGCTGCTGCTGCCCATGCAAGAGAAGACCTACCGGCGCCTGCTGATGCTGCAGAACGCCCTGACCACGATGCTGCCGCATCACGCCGGACTCAACCCTCGTGCCTTCAGGTGCGCCACCCTGAGCTTTTCGGAGGAAGGGGGGGCAAACATGGGCTAAGTAGGGCCCAGCCCAGGCATTAGAACACGAGAGAAGCCAGTGCTGGGTCAGACCAGGGGCCCCTCCAGTCCAACACTCTTGTGTCACAGAGTGGCCAAAAATACCAGGGGCCCTCAGGAGGCCCAGCAGTGGGGCCAGAACTCCAGAAGCCCTCCCACCCTTACACCCAGGCATCAAGAATACAGAGCATCCCTTGCCCCAGACCAACAGTCCCTATCTATACCTTGTGGCTAAGAGCCACTGATGGACCTCTGCTCTTAACATAAGAACATAAGAGAAGCCGATGTTGGATCAGGCCAAAGGTCCATCCAGTCCAACAGTCTGCGTCACACAGTGGCCAAAAACACCAGGCGCCCTCAGAAGCCCAGCAGTGGGGCCAGGACACCAGAAGCCGCCCCCCCCCCCAAGCACCAAGAAGACAGAGCATCCCTTGCCCCAGACAGAGAGTCCCTATCTATACCTTGTGGCTAAGAGCCACTGATGGACCTCTGCTCCGTATGCTTATCTAATTCCCTCTTGAGGCCGTTCATGCTTGTAGCCGCCATCACCTCCTGCTGCAGTGAATTCCATGTGTTAATCCCTCTTTGAGTGAAGAAAGACTTCCTTTTATCCGTTCTAACCCGACCGCTCAGCATTGGGGTGGAGCTCCTTCCCTGGGTCCCCTTGTGTTGTGGGCGCGTTGGTGTCTCCTCCAGCTTGATGTGCTGTAATCTTGGTGCTGGGGGGGGGGGGGCAAACGGGGGGGGGGCCCTGGGTG